GTGAGATGCTTGCCGTGTTGTACATACAGAAAGCACCTGCACTTGAAAACTCGACAGTTAAGTCAACAGTGCCCACAGAAAAACTGAGAACGACACCTACGTCCTAGAAAGGTGCCGTAATTGCGAGAAAAGTAAAAAAAAAAAAAAGTGTTTGGATTTTTTTTTACTTGATTTTAGTATACCCCCCCCCCCCCCCCTCAGCGCCTGGTGGTCGAGTAGATCATGTTGTGCGGGGTCGAGAACTCTCACTCCGCGCAAGGGGGATGGCCGCACCACGTTGTGTTAAAATGGTCAAGCATCCTCGAGGCAGTTACACGGTGCTTTAACTGTCTCTGGAAGTGAAAGCACCAGAAAATAAATTAAGTCATACGCAGCTGTCATCCGTACGCAAGGAAGAAAGCACAAGATCCTGAACACCCTTAGCAGGATGCAGCGCACCCTTCATGAGACTCGCCGAATACCTCACGGCGCTTCGCGCTTGGTGATGTGAGAGCCTGGTCCGGCGAGAACCCGGCGTGCTCCGCCCCGGCTTTGTAGGAATGCGAGGTCAATGGTCTAACGACTACGGCATGCACGACTATGAGTACACCCCCCCCCCCTCAGCGCCTCTGGAGCGTACATAGGTGTCAGAAAATATTTTTCCCGCCACCCTTCGTTGAGCCCAAAAGAACTCCATGTCTAAGAACTTGAGCACCATTCGTACGCTCGGTGATGAACACTTACACTAAAAGCTATATAGCGACCATTCGTAGCATGACCCCAGGAATACGGTAAGAACCCCAGCCTCAGCCAAAACTACATTAGAGGTTCGAGCGCGGGCGCTCTCTGTACAAGCAATACCTTCGTGGTCGCGCACCACTCGCACTTCTTGATGAGGTGGGCGATCTCCTCTTCGCCATCGTCCGTCGCCGCTCCGGGGCCTCTGAGTGACACGAGAGAAAAACACAACGGCTTGTGTGGGGTGATCAGGTAAGACTGCAGGTGTACAGTACCCGACGAAGGCCGCTATGGTCCAAGGGCAACCACCGGCCTTACATCGGGCACCCGGCGCTCAAACAGGGAAACCGACCTCAAGCAGGGACCTCTGCTGCTGTACAGCCAATGAACCCCTCCCAGGGTAAAACGACGCGAACGTGCCGTCCGACACCTCCGGCCTGGTGGCTGAACAGCGCAGACTGCGTCACGCTCCTCCGAAAAACATTGTTGTTGTCGTCGTTTCTGTTGTTGTCTTGACATGAAAAAACCGTTCCGTTCTCTCTACCCAGTACCTTCCTCTGCCCGTACTAGTCGAACACTTGACGCGGTCGATTCCCGTGGTCACAGGCTAGCTTACCCAAGAACGGCATCCTAAAAAAAAATGGACCCATTGGACACCAAAAAACGAAACAACACCATCGACCTTTGCGCATACACACACGCCCAAACAAAACCGAGAGAGCTGCTCACCGAGACGAAGGGGCGCAGCCGGCGGCGTAGGGGGTGAAGGGGGAAGAGGGGTCAGCCGCGGTGCTCCCTGCGCCGGGGTTGTCATCACCACTAATCCTTGTCTCCTCCATCGGGCCCCTTGGTCAGGCTTTTTTTTTGTCGGGAAGAGGGAGGACGCTTCTTCGGCTCGCAGACACCACCACCCCGTCCGAGCTTTCAGGCGATTTAGGGTTGCGTTGTTGCGGTCGAACCGGAGCCTTGCCGTCGAGTCGTTTCGTGGAAATGACGTCGCGTCGCTGCGAAGCAACTTCGAAGAGAAGGCGTTCGCTTGCCCAAGTTCTGAGGAAATGAACCGAGAGGAGGGTGACACGCAGCACGCACGAACAGCGAGAGGATAGGGAGGGGGGTGGGGGGGCGTCAGGGAGTGTTCTTCAAGAAGGAGGGTCCTTGAAACCAAGCCTGTTGTCGGGTATCTTCTCGCAAATTGTTTCCAGAAAAATCGGGAAGATGATCCCGGAGGCACAGCACAACACCGACGGCACCCCCATGACCGAGCGCTCCTGTGCGGAGGGAGGACTGTGTGCGTAGACACAGGCTTCGCAAAAGAAAAAAAAGGACTCGTTTTTTTCGCCGGGCGACAGCGCCTTCACGAACGAGTCCTTTTTTTTTTGCGCCGGTGGGTGATCATCCCGGGGGGGGAACATCAAAGTTGACAGCACATTTTCTTAGAAGTACACATACGCATACAAAGGCAGAGAGACTAAATACGTATACCCGTTCGAGAAAATACCACAGCAGGCGAAGGGGATGTGTTGAAGTCTGTACACCTAAATAGCGAGTGTAAGAAAAACCGGCTGATTACTTGGCCTATGTTAAAGCCTACACTGAGCCATACCAGTGATGCCAGCTACGGTAGTGCTAAGCACAAAAACGTCTTTGACGCACTCTGTGTCACCGCAACGGACAAAATCTACGGAGCATTCCACGGATGACTGGGAACCGTTCCAAACACGGTGAGTCTTGCACGATATGTACTCTGGGCGCGCCAGCTCTGACACGCTGTGATGGTAACATTTTGACAATCTTTCGCCGAAATTGAGGGGGGGTGGGGGGGGGGGTACTGCACCGTAGATCACGGCAAATGGGGCTTTGAAAAGGTAGTAGTCTTCGCAAGTGCTTTCGATTAAGTAAACATGTTGGATAAAGTATGCATCGGGGAAGTATTGAATCATGCAGAATAGCATAGTAGCATAGATGTGGGTGTCGGGAGATGGCGGCTCTGTGTTGTTCAACCTTGAGCTCTCTTTGGGATGTGAATAAATATCCTGGTGGATGACGAATGTAACCTGACCCTCCGAGTAAGGTACACCGGCCACTGCAACACTGCAATAAAGCGAAAAGGAGTTTCCCACAGACCTACTCGGTCAAGTTACGGGGACATCGTCGTTTGTAGCTCGCGAAGACATCATCTGCCATGCCCCGACATCGAAACGATCTTCCAGGGCCGCTCGGTGATGCCGACGCACCCACAGACTGACGCCATAAGCGCAGCCAAATTGTTTGCGATGCTGCTGTTACCAGGAGGCTCCGCGACTTTTCACATATCGGGAAGGGGGGTGGACTTGGTGTTACTACAATACTCCGCGTAAAAATGCCCCGAGAACCTTGTCTACAGCAGCAGCAGCAGTAGAGCGCTACAATAAATTGCATCTTTAATCACTCTCCATACACATGGAGACGTGGGCCAGACCAGCTCTCTCGTGTATGCATACATAGCTCTTTTCCAAGGCGTGGATGCTCCTAGTAATATATGTGCGTATCGTCTAGAGTTCTTGCAGCAGTACAGCAGTAAAGGAGAAAGTCCTCCACTGCTTGTTCATGAGGAAACATGTCGGTCCGGTTGTAGACTATTTATGCACATGAGTCTTTTGGGCGAATCTCATCTTCACGCTGCTGTTTACTGTCAAGCGAGCTGAAGGCGACCGGCATATGAGCAAGTGAGGTATTTACAAGGTCTGCAAATTGGTGTCTTCACAATGCGTTTTCGATTTTCCTCTTTGCGGAAAGAGCAGGAGCGCGCAAACGAGGGGCAAACGGTGTGCTACAAGTAAGTACACGGAACGAGTGAGGCAGGAAGAGAAGAGGACTGCTGTGGACAATGAGGATGCACTGCTGCTGTACGGAAGCTCTCCCTGCAGCCTGGATGATACCGATGGCAGTGGAGGTCTTGAGCCCTGTCGGAGGGTAACAGCCTCCAGGATGAGACATTGCCCCACTCATCAATCCACTAGCTGTGCTGGGTCTTGATTTGAAGTTTGTCCACACATGCACACGTTCCGTCCATACGCAGGATACCACCGATGCGCGATCAAAGGTCTGGCACATGATATGTTTGGAGTCTCCGTTTCCTTCATCCCTGCGTGATGTTCGGATTGGTGAGCGGCGCACTCACCTTTGATGCGTAGAGTCTGCAGTCTGATTCTTTGACACGCGCAGGATGTGTCCCGGTCCTGTGCGAGTTGTGTCACGGCAGCACCAGCAGCTGCGGCTGGTCCACGAGTGAACCGATGGGGGGTCCGTGGTATCATATCGTTCGCCCCCCTTCCCAGGCCTCTCCCCCGCGGGCCAGTGCGGCTGAACAACTCCATCTATAGGCACTATCTTTACATTACTCAACACCGCGTCTGCACACGTCGCAGAGGTAGAGAAAACACTGCCGATGGCTTAGGATAAAGAAGGTGCATTTTTGAAAGGGTGGGGGGAACATGTCACCACAGCAGTAGTGCAGAGGAGCTCCTTGGAAGTCGGCGTTGTTGAGAGGAGGAAGAAGTCAGAGTTCTGTTCTCAGCATGTCAAAAAGAGGTGATTCGGTTCTGTAACAAGAGGATGGGCGCAGTCAGGCTGTATTGAGGTGGGCGCCTTGAAGAGGTTGGAGAGGGGGGTTTTGGAACACGTTCACGATATATACTAAGTCTATCTGGATGAATGAAGCCATCCTTTCGACGGAAGAACGCCAAGAACGAAGCCGGAAGCCGTCATCAACACCCCGTCAGTGCTGCAGGACCCCCGGGTCAAACAAGCTGACGTGCCACAAACAACGAAATTCTGTTTTCCGCTCAAAACGAGGACAAAAGCCATTGCTTAAGGGGGGGCCTCTCACGCGGGGCCTCGCATCAATCTACTGACTCTCCATCTGCCGACGAGTCAGCCACCTCCAACCTCAACAGCCTTGCAACTACTTCAAGTCACGAGGGAGCGGCGTATCTTCCCTGTCCCGTCGAGTTCTCTTCTTGGCGCTTCCGCCCGCTTCCAACCCTCCTCCCGGACTCCCCTCCGCCTCTCCGGGCCGCCGCCGCAGCAGCACCTCTCGAGAGGCCGCCACCCCCCGTGACAGGCGTGAAACGTCCCCTTTCGCGGCTATCACGGCACCCTCCACGTCTTCTTCCGTTCCGGGCGGCGCGATGACGATAGCACCCTCGGCGCTTTGACGTCCACCATCTCTATAACTATCTACTTCACCACCACAAGTGCTAGTAGGAGCTTCTGGTTCGGGATCGCCGGATGATTGTACCACCTCGACAGACGCGTCGTCGTTCCTAGAGCTTCCTTCGGCACCGCCTCCCTCGTCGCTAGGGCCGGGTGGTCGGTCATCTGCGCACAGCCGTCTCACGATGTCGGGCGCATCCTTACCGGAGCGCGAGCCACGCGAAGGCATGCAAGGCACGGCGAGGCTTAGGGGGCGGGGGTCAGAGGGCGCTGCCCGGATGGCGTCGAGGCAGTACTGAGCGTAGAAGACGCGCCTCGGGTTGTCGGTCTGGTTCGGCCCGCTTCTGTGCCAGAGACTTAGACGAGAAAGGCGGCATTGATAGAGGAATCGGGGAGGGAGGGAGGGAGGGAGAGAGAGAGAAAGAGAGATGCGAGAAAGAGAGAAAAAGACAGATAGACAGAGACACACAGACACACAGACAGACAGAATAGACGGACGGACGGACAGACAGACAGACAGACAGACAGACAGACAGACAGACAGACAGACAGACAGACAGACAGACAGACAGACAGACAGACAGACAGACAGACAGACAGACAGAACAAGACGGACAGAAGGAGGGCGTCTGTGAGCTCAGCTGTGACGACAGAAAACCGGACTTGACAAATCAACAGCAATCGTCAAATCACTCTTGAGCGACACAATAACCTACCACGTGATTCTGATCAGAGCCGAAACAGCAGTGCCGTCGATCGGCACCCGAACGTCATGCAGGAAGAAGAGTTCCCACACCAGACCCATCAGACAGAAGTGCTAAGAGCCCAACACCGGCCCGCCCTCGAGCCCAACACTTGCCCATCCAAACGAGTACCACGTCGTGAGTGCTCCAAAGTAGCTGCTGCTTTCTCGTTTCGAAAATGCTCAGGGATACCATATTCGTCCAAAGTGGCCCCGCGAGAGCCCCGGCTTACTTTGACAGGAAAACAACCGCGTCTCCGGCCTTTGCAGGGAGGCACACGACACAGGCATCGTCCTCCTCGCTCGGAGTTTGCTGGCGCGTCTGGTCCCGAGCTTGAGGGTACACCTGGATGCCACACAAATTGCGCAACGTTGGTTGCATCAAGCTTCGTAAGCCGTTTGATTTGCAGAGGCGGTGATACCCGCCGAATTAAAAAGCTTCGCGCTCATTCGCTGCATCAAGCAATCGTAAGCCGTTTGCCTTGCAGAAGCGGTAGTACGTGCTGAGTTCAAAGCTGCGGTCCCAAAAATCCCCCCCCCTTTTCCGTTCCCCATTTCGCTGCTCACGTGACGGTGACCCAGCACCATGGCCGTACAGGGGGGCTGCCAACTGGGATGAAAAACAAACAGGGGGGAACAGGGTGGGCCGATAGTCATCCTACCCCAAACACTTGTTGGTCAACCACACGCTATAGGCCAGGGACCGTTAGAGTTACTGCTGCAATAGCAACGTGGAACAATTGTAACCTGGTAGGGTAGACAGCAGTGGAACAAGTGATCAAGTTCATGGCCGAAGGTTCTGTGCGAACCCCCGTCTACTACGAAGCCTAAGCCTTGTGCGTGTTGATGATCCCCACATTTTTAGGAAGTGCACATGCAATAACAGAAAATACTACCCGTTCGGGATAACAACACAGTCGTCGCCGCGTTCGTTGTAAAGTCGTGGTCCCGATATTCGCGGTGTAGTGACAGCCAAAACTCGCCGCGGAATAGTCTATCGTGAAAACGCACTGTCGAGTGTTGGGGAACATATAGATTTTAGTATGGTCGACGAATTTGGTGACAAGAGATTGTTAGCGCAGTGTTTCGGGGCACCGCACTACTCGGGATCGCGGCATATCGGGACCGTTCTACAGTACCTCTAAGCAGCCGTTAACGGCGTCGCAGTCGTCCAGAGCCAGCCAAACGCTCACGTACACGGGGGGTCGAGCACCCGGCGCGAACACGCACATCGCCAGCTGTTCCCGCTCGTCCTGGAAAAAACCCAACAATGGTGGAACGGTTGATCCGACAGGCGGAAAATATTTGAAACTTGGGGGGGGGGGCGTACTCTTATGTTTTGCATGCCTTAACGGTTAGGCCATTGACCACGCGTCCTCGAGAGGACGGAGCATTATTCCCACAGGACCGATCACCGATGGCCAATCGTCCCTTCCTACTTTGCCAAAGGAAACATGGGGGGGGGGGGGGTATGTATCGCAAGCAGAGGGGCGGCGTGCATGTGTCCACAAAAACGATACTGCTGTCGTCAGTAGTTGTGCCCCAAAATATCGGTAGAGCACATGATACGCACCTAGGTAATACTACAAAAGGGGGTCCTTTCGATGCGGACATATTTTCGGTAGAGTTGCATAGTTCCCTGTCACTTGCTTTTTCTCAAGAGCAAAGGCTCTTGTGTTGCTGTTCCGTCAGATCCTGCTGAGCCGCTGAAACCGCCTTCTCTTCCTACCCTGCCTCCGTCGCCTGTTCAACATCGTGCGCTGGTTTTTCCTGGTTTCTGGCTCATATTGTCGTTTCCTGGCTACCGCTGCCAGCCGGCTGTACGAAAAGCTAGACACAAAGAGAAGGAACAAACAACTGCTTCGCCGGTCTCTCGCTGTTGCAACCGAGTGGTCGAGGCGTTTTCCCCGCCCAAGAGCGAGAAACGACACCCAAACGTAGCACGCGCAATCCCTGACCCGAACGCGAAGACTACTGCATAGCAACCAATGCTGCAGCACACCGACAGTCGCCCCCCCTCGCGGCCTACTGTTGACGTCCTCGCTCCAGTTAGCTTGCCCTACTACACATACATTCGACAGCACCCAAGGGCCCGAGAGTGCTGAAAAATGCCATCGAAAACAGAACGTAGTGGACAGCAGCGGCATGTGGTCCACGTGGGCAGCGGGGAGAGGGCACCGCGACTGACTTGAACGCCACCCACCCCACCCCCCAAGGACGAACACACAAGCACAGACACATGAACTTCTCTTCGTCTGTTTCCGTTTCTGTCTTTCATCCGGAGAGTAGCCTAGCTTCCCCCTATGACCCGCCCTCACAGGATCCCAGATCATGGCCTTCACATGCGTTCTTTCTCCGTTAATAGCGAACGTGTTTTCGTTGGTCAGCTCGTTAGCGAGGTCGATGCTAAGAAAATGGTACAAGCGGGGGTGTGCGTAGATAAGAGGTTGGGAGGCTTCTTGTGTGACACACTCGCTCCCAGCTACTTGGGTTAGATCCTTGTTTCTCATGCCGCTTGGGGAATCCGCCGTTTATGTGTCTTGCCTCGATGGAGTACTGATGCCCTTGTTTGGATGGGGTATTGATCTTCAAGCCGTCAAGATCGAGCGGTGTTTCGTATGGAACAAATCGTTGGCAACCATCTGAGCGTCATTTTCTTCACAGAGTTGATGAGCTGGAGCTAACTACAGCAGCAACACACCTACAGCAGTAGTACGGCCGCATCGGTATGGTCAACCTCTGAACAGCTACAGCGTAACGAAGGCGCTCAGCTTTTGACTTGAGCGTTTCGCCACGTAGCAACCCGCCTTACCGTATGCCAGCCGAACTCAATCGAGCTCCGAGGCGGCTTGACGACGTACTGTTCGTTGAACAACAACAGCCCTCCACGTTCTCCAGCGCCCGAGGCGTCAGGATTTCTCACTGCATCTTCTTCATCCGCAGCAGCAGACCGCTCCGCCTCAAGAGCGTCCCACGCCAAGGCAGCCAGCGTCCCGAATATGGTGTCTCGCACAACCGATAGGTGTCGTTCTGTCCAGCCACCCCCTCCGCATGAAGGAGAGGTAGTAGACAATCCCGACATGGTGCCGCCGCCATCTCTGCTAGCACCGCGAGAATCTCCTGGTGGTGGTGCTTTTTCCACGCTAGGGTGTATATCGTTGCCTCCGGGGAAACGGCGGCGGCGTCTTCCGTTTCTCCGTGACATGTATTTGGCCATCGATGTCCTCGCTTCGTCGTCCTCCGGGAGCTCGTTGTTCGTGAAGAAGTCCAACGCGCACCCCTGTGTTTGATAGTCGGCACGAGGGCACCATAGCTTGGTCACGTGCTGCTCTCTCGTACACCGCGGTTCTTTCCACGCCCTTCAAAAGTCTACAGCGAGCGGTAGTCCGTATCAAGTTCCCTGTTACAGTCGACACCTGTGAGAGGGACTAAACTACTAAGGATATCACATGCTGCCAGCAGAGCAACATCTGCCGAGGAACGGCAGAATTTAGACTTGGTCGCGCAGCATTTCCGTCAACCCCTGATCCGGATCCTGATCAACACCGCTTCTGTCTCACCGCGGGACTGTCAACTTTGCAGCGTGTCTAAGGTGTGATGCTATGACATCTCTATCCATAGCTAAGGGTAAAGACTTTGATAAAGTAGCAATTAGTCCATAGCGTTAGCGGAGAACTATCTGTGTTTCTACGGGTCCCCAACTCCCCAAGCAGGTTATAGAGCGATATCTCACCGCGGGACTGTCAACTCTGCTGTCTAATTGCTAGTATATCTTGGCAGTTGTCGTTTGGTCACCTTCTCCAGGTACTCGTCCTCCGTAAGGGCGTCCTCAGAGCGCTTCAGGTTGAACAATGCATCAGCCTCTGTACGCAAGGCTTGCAGGGTTTCGTCTTCGACGCAGCCAGCCACGAATACAAACCCATCGGATGCGATCGCCATGTTTGGTTGTGAAGTTAGGTAAGAATGTTTCAAAAGGGGGCCAAGTTTTCGGGGCGGGGGTAGGGGGCTTTTTTTTTCACTGACTGCTCCACTCATGTTGTGATTCAGCAGTGGCTCGACACATGCATTTGGATGCGCACTTCAGAGATTCTGTGTTGTAGTTCTCCCAAAGCATGCGCGTCGAGCGGGATTGGTGGGCTCCGTGTAACAACCTCCTCTTATCCTTTGGTACTACAGGCCCCTGTGAATCCTGATTTTTGGGGGTTTTGGTATTGTGCTTTGTCCGGATCCTGTGCACATTCAGCCATGACCTTTCCTTCATCGCAACGGGTTTATGATATGATAAACTTTCACGGATATTGGTCTGAGAAGCTGAAGCTAAAGCTTCAAAATTCCCGCAACAGCATTGTAGTAGCAAACGAGATGCCCGCATGTACCGGACAAGCAGCTTGGATGCGGTGGTAGATGAAGCGCAACATCATTCATTGCCATCTAACCTATTATAGTCTTAACCCAGGTGTGCAAGCATCGCGGGTGGATTGAGATTTGGCTATCCGCGATCGAGCGAGTTTTTAAGGGTAAGGGAAACTCCACAAAGTGAGAATGGAGCGTGGAGGAGAAGTGTGTTTTGTTTTCCCTTCGCCAACACGCGTTGCTACAGATCCACGTCGTTGGTTGGAAGTATTCACGGGTGCCCAAAAAGGAGGTTGTAACTGGTGCCCAACCTCCCCGGGGATCAGGTTGGGACGTTGGGGATCGACCTTGGACAACATGTAGTCTACGCTGCCAGTCCGCCCTATTGATCGGACCGACGTCGTAATCCGTGATGCGGTGCTAGATGCTTAGGTCGGCGTAGAACCTGACCCCCGGGGAGGTTGGGCACCAGTTACAACCTCCTTTGGCCACTCGTGTTGCTGTAATGCAACTCGAACACGATCAATGGTTATATGCACATGCACAGGACGATCGGGTCGGGGTGTCCGGAAAGAGAAAACCAGGCCGCCCTCGTCGTTCGAGCCGCTCAATGACAACGCATCGCAAGGCATACAACGGAGGCAAATCCACCTTCATGTTCAAGCTTCACGTGACGTACGCCATTACTGAACACGGCAGTCGCGTCCACGAACTTCACGACCACGCCATAGTTACCGCTGTGCATCGCCAATCGATCAGCGCGATGTACCCATAAAGGATGATGGCCCAGCGTAGTCTGACACACACGCGCGCTACATTTTCCGCGCGTTGACGAAATTCGCGACAAGGCTAAAACAACCACCGGCGTCTGCGAATACGGACGGGCTCTTGAAGGGTTCAACATAAGTACTCAGCAGTGGCTTTCAAAAATACGACAGCAGGGAAATAGCATTACAAGTTATGCCACACCGATCTCTAGGTGGTGGGCCCGAACAACAGCCTGAACCCGCCGCCGGTCTACTTTTGCGGAATAATAGCGGAAGACCAAGCTTCACCTACCAGGCTAGCACCCCTAGCAGGCACGGGGGACAACCGCAGACCCAGAACAAAGGCCCTCGTAAAATCCCAACAGAAAGCCAGAAAAAAAAAAAAAAACTCGAGGAACCAAGAGATTAAGCACGGTCCGAACATTCACGATACGACCAGCTTTCACCCCTTGGCTACACTCACGGTCTTGCTCAGCCCTCGGAGACTAGGTTCGAGCGCCCATGACACGGCTAGACTACACGCCCAGGCTACACCCAGCAGCAGACGATCTTGCCCAACCCAGGGAAACCAACGAGCAGGGGAGAAAGTCACGGAAACCAAAAAAACACTAACTTCGATCTAGCTGAGCCCAGGGGACTGCATGAGTAGCCAACAAGAAGGCACGAAAACCAAAACAAACACCAGCTTGCACACGGTCCGTCGTCGGCTATCCGCACCGTACACATGCAAAAACGACACACATCACGACGGCGGTACCCCAAGCTTGGCGTTGAGGGCGCTCATCAGGTCGCCACCTTGACGCCTCGCCCCGTGCTGCCCGACCGCCCCCTGCAGCTGGGCGGCGAACGGGCTCTGCAGGCGGGCAGCCGAAGCCCCTCGGGTGCTTCTCACGCTGCTGACGATCTGTCTGGTTTTCTGCACGTACAGGCCTGCAGACGGGGGGGGGGGGGGGGGGGGGGGGGGGACCCTTTTTTTTGGCTGGCCTAACGAATAAAACATTTGCCCCCCCTCCCCCAAAAGAAGGGGGATTTTTCCCCCAGGGACCAAGAACCAAGGGGAAACCTTTCCTCCCCTCTAATTTTCCCAAAGGGGGCCCAGGGGGGGGGGGGGGGGGGGGGCGTACTCATTTGTTGCTTGCCGTAGTCATTTGACCATTGACCACGCGTCCCTTTCGAGACGGAGCACCGTTCCTACCCCTACTAGAGACACCACCAACATTTGGGAGCTCTTTACGTTTCTGCCACAAACTACATAAAAATTTCTTGCACATCTTATCCCCGTCCTCTAGGGCCTCTTGTGCCCACCATCTATCCCCAATTATCGCGATCGTTTTTTCGCTGGTGTTTAATTTACCAAACTTGTCCATGTCACACCCTCTCTGTCTCATTTCCTCCTCGAGATCCTCTCTTTCCTTCTTGTACAACTCACACTCCCCAACTATGTGGGGTCTACTCTCCTCCGATTTGCCACATGGACATGTGTGTCTATCCTCCTCTTCCTCTCTCCTACGGCTGGTATACCTCTTCTTCCGTTCTGGCAAGTCCAGATCGCCTACTCGAAATTGCAATTTCAGCTTTTTCGCATTGTCCATGGGGCCGTCCAAGCACGTCTTCATCCCTATCCCTTCTTTCAACTTCCCGTATATCTCCAAGTGGTCTTCGCTTCGTACCTTCTTCCGAAGGGTTGCCTCCTCCCTACTTTCTAGCATCTCCTTGACTTTCGTCTTGAACCCCCCGAACCCTTCCGTGTCCAACGTCTCCTCCTCGTCTCCTATCTCCTTCCAAACCTTCTCTACCACCTTGTCCCATCTGATTCCCTTCTTCCCTGGAGTCGCTTTTCCCCAAGCTGCCTTGTCAACCATGGCTGGTAGTCGATCGTCCGACATTCTACTTACCTTGTACTGCCAATTCAACTTCTGCATGTCTCTCTTTGTTTTAAGAGAGTACATTCCCAATTCTGCTCTCAATACAGTGTTGCTCGTTGTACTTGAACATCCTAGTATTTTCTTGGCCGCTGCCATCTGCACCGTTTCCAGCTGCTTGACGGCCTTTTCGTTACCTTCCCATACCTCTCCTGCATACTCTAGCTTAGGTACAATCACATTCAAGAGAATACACCTCTTAATCCTAGTGTCTAGGTGTGGGTCCGTAAGGATCTCGTCCATCTTGCCTATCTGAGCTTTACCCTCCCCAATCAACTTCGCTATGTGTGCGTCCCATGAGCACTCCTTCGAAATCTCTACTCCCAGGTACGTATACTTGTCTACTACCGGTAGTTCTTCCTCCCCCAATTTCCATTTCAATTCTACGGGATTTTTCTTGTCTTCGTTACAGACCACTACTGCGCATTTTCCTACGTTCGCCGACAGTCTCCATTTTCAGGTGTATCCTACCGCCGCATCTATTTGTTCTTGCAACCCTTAAGGTGTTTC